ATTTAATCAGAGAGTGTGACAGTTTCCTGAGTAAGCCAGACCAGCACTGGGGAAGTGGCTCAGCCCAACACGCAGTATAAAATCTGAACAACCAAGAGAATGAACTTTGAAGAGGACAAGAGGTTTGAGCTGGCTTTGGTTCATGTATTCCTTCCCAATGACTGGGTCACCCAGAATCATGACAATAAATATACAGAGGCCAGTAATGAGAATCAAGTCTGTATTGTGATCCAGTTGTTTTGAAATTGCTGTATTTTGCCTGGTTTGTTATTTCAATGAATTGCTGTGTTGCTAAATCAGAATCCAAGTAAATATTATTAATATTAAAACATTAAAACCTTGTACAGAATATCTTCTGACAATGGGAAATGTGAATACAAAGTTGAACCTGGTTTCTGCAGGTAAGAGTCTATGACAAATAATGTTTGTTTTGGGTTTTTTTTTCTGTTTGAATATCCTCAGTATTATGTGGAAGGTGGCAAGGACTTTCTGTAGAAAATTATTGTCTGACATCAGAGATAGCCATTGTAGTAAGTTTTAAACATGTAAGTTTTAAAAACTCAGTGTTATCTTCTAAGACTTTGAATACCAAAAGTGCAATCAGGAGCTAGGGTTTGGTTTTGATTCTTAAATTAACTTTCATGAAGACCTAATATAGTGGTGACCATTGCAATAGCTCGAGGCATATCACCTGCTTTAAATTACATGGATAGTGAGCCATAGCATAACACGTTTGCAATGTTATGGATACAGCCATACTTGGGTCCTAGTATAACTTAAGAATTTGTGCTACAGGGGTCATGTTCTGGTAAGTATCTTAAACCACCTCAGCAAGATCAGAGATGAAAGAAACTTCGTCAAGAGTCACAGATGGCAGCAACTGTCATAACTAAAAAAGTATGAACCCATGGCTAACGTTTTTAATAAAAATATGTTGCCCAAGCTCTGCAGTGTAGAAGTTAAGAAAATGTAAAAATAGAAAAATTGGAAGAATCCTTTAAAAAAAAAATACATGTAGGCAACAGTAGGAGGAATTAACCTAGTGGAAGATGGGAAGGACATCTTCTACAGCACACGTTGTGGCATATACCAATACTCACCACATAGGTAATCCACTTTTTATTGGCTTTTCTCCAATTTTGCTGCAACAGTAATGTTCATCAGTCCTAAACACACTCATAGTTTTATCCCATGGCAATATTTCTTATATCCTTACATCACTCCACGGAAAGCATACCTGTGTTTGCCTTGATGTACACATCCTACAGAGAGACCATCTTGTCTTGGTGGCTTGTTTGCTGTGACTGACAGTTTGGCCCTGTGGGCATTGATAAATTTCAGCTTGACCATATCGTGGTTGTCAGACTGGCATAATACATATTACACTCTATGTATCAACAGGGCAGCATTATTTACATCTTGTCACATCAGTATGCAGCTCATGTACGTTCCTATCTTATACTCAGAGCTTCATTTTATATTTGTTTTGCACTTTTTTTAGTCACTACAAAGTAGCTTCATTGCTGAACAAATGTTGAAATTCTCAAGACATGGTAACAAATCTTATGGAAAAAGGAGAAAGAAAAAAAAATTGATGCTGAAAAAAGTACCTAAAAATAACATAAGACCCGTACAACAACATACTGTGCAAAACAACAAAAATGAGAAAATTAAAATCATATGCAATGAAATCCAGTATGCATATTCAAAATACATCACTAGAATCAGCTTTCATTTATCATGGACACAGATTCACATTCAAGGAAAACATTTTTTCTGAAGAATTATCTATCTAAAGGAACTTTTATAGAAGACTAAGACCTAGTTTCTCAGTAAAACTTAATACCAAAGGAAAATGAACAAAGAAGAAAATATGTTTACAGATTATTTTAGCATATTTTTCCATTAAAATACCCTTACTGGGACTGTGCTAGTATGTGCTTCCATGGTTAGAGATTAGCACACCAAAATCCAGAGAGAATGGGGTTTTCCAAAGAACATTTCTCAATGAGCAACTTTCCTCATTATTTGTTGCATGGTTGTAAACCTGTTCTGGAAACCTCATGGTGTCATGCCTTCTTATGTGGAAGTGCTCATTTCAGGCTATAGCTTCCTTTACAATGATCTGGTACCCAACAGACAGTTCCTAGCAACCTTGTGTGAGCTGTAGTACTAATGGCAGAAATGCTAACACAAAAAATAATTAAAAAAAAATCCATGATGATTAAAGCCTCTGCTTTGGAGTTATTAGGTCAAAGTGCAGCTGTTAGGACCTATTAAGGAGTCATGGACATACAGAAGAGTAAGCCTGTGAGGATATTGATTGCTGTTCTAATAGATTCTAAAAGCTTATTAGTGTTAGCTAAGCAATGTCTTGTTATAAGTTTCTAATATTTTCATGAGTGTATTTTTCTTTGTTTCATTGGCCTTTACTCAAAGGACTAGATTTTTCAAACAATGGTCCCACCAATTATTTTCAGCGCAGTTCTAAATTGCTGGCAGTTATTTGCTGCTGTAGCTTAGAATGTAGAAATATAAATCCTTAGCAACACCCACAGTCAGCTAATTGACATGCAAATGACCTTAAGTCCACCCTCAAAAATGAATGTCAGATTAAGAATAACATGGAAAATTCACTTTGAATGTTCAGGCTTAGAAAAACACGTTAGACTTCTATACTCTGTTGCTTTGCTTTACGTTAATGTAAATAAAAAAAAATAGCTTATTCTTTAGCACATTTGACTCTAATATATACAATATGGAAGCACATTATTCAGACAACCAATCAGACATATAGCACCAGATAAAAATTATTCTCCCTGACTATGCGATGCAAACTCCATAGATTTATGTTAGAGAAAGAAGAGCTCAGCATGACACAAGAAAAGAGATCTGACCTTTTTTCTGAGAAGAATATGTGTAGGCTGGTCATCTGGTTTCAAAGGAAAGTTTATCACAGACAGAGATAAATTGGAAGCTGGCTTTAATGTAAACATTTTTATATAATAGAGAGCTAATCCTTTTTGTATCTGTGTATTCATAATTTTATATGATAATTGCTATAGAAACATATAATTTCCTAACTCCTTGAGGTTCTTGTTAAATATACTATTGTGCATATTTTGACAAAACTTTATGCTTTCTTCTAAAACATGTCTTTTTCCTCAGTTCTCCCTCCAACAGAACAGTGATACAGCTGAACAACATGCAGTAAAAAAACTTTTTAACTCCTTTTTATTTCAGGCAACTTGCTAGAATATTATCAAAACAATAAGAAACTTTCTAAAAGAGAACAGACATACATATATGTACAAGACTTCAGAAACAACTACATTATTCTTCCTTTAGCACTAAAATCTTTGTTTATGCTATGACATCACCAAACATATTTCAAAATACAGAAGTAGGAGGAAGGTCAAACCATTTGTGGTGGTTTTGGCTGGAGTAGTTGATTTTCTTCACAGTGGCTAGTAGGGGGCTGTGTTTTGAATTTGTGCTGAACACAGGAGAGATAATATAGAGGAGTTTTTGTTATTGCTGAGCAGTTCTCACACAGAGCCAAGGCATTTTCTGCTTTTTGTGCTGCCATGCTGCCAATGCACCCAGCTGGGGGTGCCTGGGAACTTGGGAGGAGACACAGCCAGGACAGCTGATGACAACTTTCCAAAGTAATATTCCGCACTATGTGACATCATACTCAGTATATAAAGCTGAGGGTAAGAAGGAAGAAGGAAGAAGGAAGGGATTTCTGGACTGATTGAGTTTGTTTTCCCAAGTCTCCATTACGCATGGTGGGGCTCTGTTCCCTTGGAAATGGCTGAACACCTGCCTGCCCATGGGAAGCAGTGAATGAATTTGCTTGCATGCACAGTTTTTGCTTCCCTATTAAACTGTCTTTATATCAACCTATGAGATAAAGCTCTTCCCCTTCTGATTCTCTCCCCCATCCTACTGATGAGGGAGTAAGGAAGCAGCTGTGTGGTGCGTGGTCACTAGCTGGGGCTAAAACATGACATCACCAAAATATTAAAAAAATTATACCTGTGGAAAAATATGTAATATGAAACTTAAGTAAACATGACATAAAATCCTTTGACCAGTACATTTTTTTTAGACATGTGTAGAAATTATTTTGGCTCTTTAGAGAAGTAAAATTTATTATGAGAAAAAAAAAAAAACAGAGGATAAGCAATTTAAAATTTTGCTTTTTAGCTCTATATAGAAGAAAGACCACTTCATAGTGTTTGTCTGCTCCACACGGCACTTTTGATTCGTAAATCTTTAACATATTAACTAAGCAGAAAATAGAAATGAAGGAGTGGAATAATCACATATTCTCTTTTACAGCAGAAATAATGACTTGAAGACCCTGGATGTATAGCACTTTTATTCATTACAGTGAAATCAAGTATGAGGCTGCCATAATAGCAGATAAATTAAGGTTTACAGTATGTCATTTGTAGAAAGCAGCTGCAGTAAGAGCAGCTAGTAAAAGAGTATCTTCATCAAATGTGTGGCATTACCTGGAGTTTCTTGATGGATATTCAAACCCACAGAAAGAGAAAACAATAGAAAGAGACCGTACAGAACCTATAACCAATGTGTCAGTGTTACAAAGCAGTAACTATCATCTTTACAGTGTGAGAAAAAGCAGCTTTCATTTGTTCATAAATTCAGGAATATGTTTTGTACAACAATTATTTAAAGAACTAAAACTGGCTTCCTCTGTTGTACAACTTGAGATGTGCTGATAAAAACTACTGTTATAAGAGGTAAGCATTGTAACTTTAAAACTGCAGATGAGAATTATTGGATTTCAAAGTTTTCTAAGATACATGAACTCATACACCAGGTTATAAATGGCAATTGAAGCTCCAAAGGTAGATTTTTTGTCATATAATTAAGAAAAGTTACCATAAATCTCAAAATACCCAAGAAGCTTGAGTTCTGGGAGTAAGTTCTGCAAGTTAATGATAAGTTCTGTTTCTATCATGCTTAGCAGATTTAACAGAGAAGGAGTCCTTCTCCAGAATTGTGGCGCCTTGCTGTTGCTGTAACTATGAATGACTTATAACCATTAACAAATACAATTAGCACAGCTTAGTTCATGGGATGAAAAATGTTTACCTTTCAAATTCCAGCAAGACCTAACAGTCAAGACTACTACTACTGCTACTATTTTTCTGTGCTTAATAATCTTTAAGGTTTTCTCAAAAACCACTAAGGTTTTCTACAACATTTTTTCAACAGTCTTCAGATGTGCAGAAATCACCAAGACTATCTCTGTTCTTAAAGAGTACTTAAAGTACTTAAAGTACTCAATTTAGTAGAATGACAGGGAAGACTTCTTTTAGCCTGGGTAAATTTAGCACTAGATTATCAGAATTATTCAGACTTAATTTGTAGTGATTCTTGCAATTCTTCAGAATGACTATTTAATTCAGGTATATTAGTAAATATTAGGACATACTTGAAAGAATATACATTACTTCAGAGGTTAGAGATGTAATATGAATCCTCTGTTTTGCAAGATGTTTTCTTCACTCCTTGTCTTCTGAAATCTATATATTTAAGTATGAATTGTATAAGAAATTAATAAATAATTATTCTTATGAAGTTTCAGTTTCATCAATATTTGCACATTAAATACATTGTAACCAATATTTTTAACACAGTTCCATAGCTTGAAAAGAAATTATTACTGTAAACATTTTTTATTAAGTAATTTTTTTGTATTTGGTATTTTCAGCTGATCCTTGTTGGACTGACCATTATTCCACTAGAAGGTTATTCTCTTAAAAAAACACTGTCAAATCTCCAACAGTCTTCTGTGAATCCAGGCAGTTGAGCCACAGTGGATTGTAATCCTGTCAGACATAACAAGGCAAGCAGATTCAGGTTGAATTAATGGTAGAGTTGGAGACCTCTAAGGAACATTTCAGTGTTACAGCAAGTTTTTTAGTGCTACTGACTCAGTGGGAGACACTCTCCTATGTGACTTAGTACTGAACTAATGCCCCAGCCAGGGAATTCTGAAAGACACTATAATTAGGATGCAGTAGGCTGGAGTGCTCAGAAATAGAGAATGGAAGACAATCTAGTCAATGTGAATGCAACTGTCTTAATGTATGAAGTGGAGAAAAGCAACTGGAAAAAGAAACAAAATCCTGATGCTAGCAGGAAAAGAAAGGAAAATGCTGGTGAAGAATATAAAAAATATGATTGGATAATAAATTATAAAAGCAATAGAAAGCCCATTTGGTGTGATGAGCACAAGATCCCTTTACTGATGCATATGATGAATTTCCAAGAGCATATAAAGGAAAAAGAGCTAGCTAAAAGAAAGAGAAAAAATTAATTCACAATCCTTTTTAGCTTATGTGTGTTGCTCATTATATGTTAAAAATGGCCTTCAACTCAAGTAGTCCCCAGGGGTCTTTACACAGTCATAAAAGAAGGAACATTCTGTTATAAAACTCTTAATACACAATCCAACAGTGAATATTTAAAAAAAAAAAAAAAAGAATCTAAATTGTATGGAAAAGCTAGTCTAATATTTCTAAGTACTGGGGAATCAGTAAAAAAATAAAATATTCTCATGAAAGTTTCACATAGCAAAAAGTTTCATCCCTCTTCTCATAAATACTTTCTTGGAAAAAAGTAAAGGAAGATGAGTTCTGTATCACAAAATATGTTCTTAGTTTTATCAACCAGGCAGTATTCGTGCATCTGTAGCTATGTCTCAAAACCAAATCACTTTCCTTTTTGTAACATAATCAGCAAGCAGCTAAAGTAATTTTAAACAAAATATTTTATTTTAGTTAAACTCAAGATAAAGTAAAGTGTTCACAAAAAGTTTCTGCAGTCTGTATTAAATGCACAGGCCACCTGGATATGACTCTCCCTAGACCTTGAAAAGCAATGTGTTGTGGAGAATTCTGGGAAAACTGCTAAGCAGGTGCAACTCTTAAAATTGAGTTGACACATTAACAGATGAAGACAAGAAATGGGGGATAAAAAAAAATAAGTGATGTGATAGTCCCTGAAGGGCAGTAAGTCGGATCAGTAGATAGAGCATCTATTAATGTTTTAGTAGAAGCCTTTTACATAGGAAAAAAATTGGGGTTTTCCCCATAAATTTGTAATACTGAATTCCACTGGTCAATTTTCTAATCTCTAAGACAATAAATAAAGTTGACAGAATACTTAGCAAGGCACTGGTTACATAAATTATTAAACATTTGATGATAATGTTCAGTGAAGAGCATATGAGAAGTTAGAAGTGCATAGAATATTTTAAGTATTAGTTCTCAATACAACTTCTCAATATGTACTGAAGTTGTAGGTAACATAATATTCTCAAAAAATTGCTATGAGATGTTTTAAAAGTTTTATATAAATCCTGAAGAAGTATGTTAGAACTGTATTTCCTAAAGACAGGAAAAAGACTAGAAACAGCCCTCTTCTCATCCAAATATTAAATAGCAAAACAATATGACAGATTATTTTTCTGATTTTCATGCTACTGGAGACTTGATAGATGTGAGTCTCTTTAGGTATTATTTCCTTGATGTTTCCTCAGCTCATTACAGAAAATAGCCTTACATTTTAGTAATATTTTCACTTTTAAAAGTAGAAGCATAAAACTTTTCCATGTATGAATGTAGCCTCAGAATCATAAATAAACCATTATTCAGTTCAGCACAATGCATTTATAAATTGTGCATGATGACTGCCTTTTTTAGGTAAACCTAAGCATCATCTGAAGGCAGCAGCTGGCAAATGAGAAAAGGCTATAGATGAAATGGAAAAGGGTTCTGTCGTGGTTAACGTTACTTAATTGCATTCCACTGTTGACAGAGAATAAGGGAAAAAATTTAATGTTATAGCAACACTAAAAGTGAAATTGTAAGGCATTATATGGCTAGAAAAATGTTAACAATAATTCTGTTTTAAAGGGTTTTTTTAAGATTACACACCACATTTTAAAACTCAGTTGTCCAACTAATCACATTTTCTTTGAACAATTCTATTATATCCACCAAAATTTTTCATTCATTATTTATAAAATTCAATCTATTATTCTTTATAATCCATAATATCTATAATCTATAATGTCTATAATCTATTATTCTCTATATTTGGGTACTATTACTTTAAGAAGATTTTTCCCAGGACTGATCAGTGATGTTTTATTTTTCACTTTCGCAATTACAGAGAATATTTTTTCCCTTTTCTTTGAAGGTCTCTTAGGTCTGCAAATTTAATTCCGAAATTCAGCCATTTTTCTCGTTTTCAGTCTTAACTTTTAGATTAAAGCCTGAAAAAAAAATTATTGTGAAAAAAATTCAGATTTAAATTATCAGACAGCAGCAACTCTTATGTGTGTGTGGTACACTGGTTCTTGTATGTACAGTAATTTTAGATAGGCAAGTTGCTTTAAAATCATTGAACAGAGATGTTTCCTAAACCTAGGTTCTTATGGACTCAGTTTTTTTTTTATCTTTACTGATTCCAGGATATTTGCTATGAAAAATAGGCCATGTCCCTCTGTATTATAGTGATAGGTACTCTGCAGACGAGAAAGCATTGCTTAGTTGGGTAGACAAAGTATTAAATACGGACTTCGTAACTGAGTATGGTGGCTTGCCAAGAGGTAAGGTTCACCAGAGCACTGCTTGTTCAAACGCATTTCTCTGTGTTTTTCTAACTGCTTTCTCTGGCACTTATGCAGCTTGTGAGCGTGTTGGTCAGACACAGAATGATCACATAACAATCACAGAATCACAGAATTAACTAGGTTGGAAAAGGCCTCAGAGATCATCAAATCCAACCTTTGACCCAACACCTTCTTGTCTATTAGACCATGGCACTAAGTGCCAGATCCAGTCTCATCTTAAACACCTCCAGGGACAGTGACTACTACCTCCCTGGGCAGCCCATTCCAATGTCCAATTACTCTCTCTATAAAGAACGTCTTCCTAATGTCCAACCTAAACGTCCCCTGGTGCAGCTTTAGACTGTGTCCTGTTGTCCTACTGCTGGTTTCCTGGGAGAAGAGACCAACCCCCACCTGGCTACAAACTCCTTTCAGGGAGTTGTAGAGAGTGATGAGGTCTCCCCTGAGCCTCCTTTTCTCCAGACTAAACAACCCCAGCTCCCTCAGCCTCTCCTCACAGGACTTCTGCTCAAGTCCCTTCATCAGCCTTGTTACTCTTTGGACCTGCTGCAGCACCTCAATATCCTTCCTGAACTGAGGGGCCCAGAACTGGACACAGTACTCAAGGTGTGGCCTCACCAGTGCTGGGTACAGGGGAAGAATCATTTCCCTGGTCCTTCTGGCCACACTATTCTTGATCCAGGCCAGGAAACCATTGGCCTTCTTGGCTGCCTGGGCACACTGCTGGCTCATGTTCAGCCTGCTGTCAATCAGATTCCCCAGTTCCCTTTTTCCTGGCCACTGTCCAGCCACTCTGTTCCCAGCCTGTAAGCGCTTCATGGGGTTGTTGTGACCAAAGTGTAGGACCCGGCACTTGGCCTTTTTGAATCTCATGATCGTTGGATTTGTCCCATCTCTTCAGCCTGTCCAGGTCCCTCTGCACAGCCCTCTTGCCTTCCAGAAGATCAACACTCCCCCACAACTTGTTGTCATCTGCAAATTTGCTGATGGTGGACTTGATCCCCTCATCCAGATCATCAATAAAGATATTAGGTAGAACTAGGTCTAACACTGATCCCTGGGGGACACCACTAGTGACTGGCTACCAGCTGGATGCAAAGCAATTCCTCATCCCTCTCTGTGTCCAGCCCTCCAGCCAGTTCTTAACCCAAAAGAAAGTGCAAGCCGTGGGCTGGTAGTTTTTCCAGGTATATGCTATGGGAGATGGTCTGAAAGGCTTTGCTGAAGCCTAGGTATACTACGCCCAAAGCCACATGATCAGAAAAGCTGGTATATGGGACAAGAACAGCTCTACCATGAATGGGGTTTTGCAAACTTAATATTCTCTGAAAACTCATAAAATGTTTCCCACTGAGTCATGGGTGACTGAAAGTGCCCTTGGGAAAATACCAAAGGAATAAATATAATTTCCCCGTGCTAAAAGGTATGAAACTCCACAAGCAGTATTTCCAGTAACTTAAAAAGAACAATTTGTATAATCATAAAAGTTACTTCTCAGACTCCATGTAATACTTATCAAGACACTCACATTCTCCAGTAAAAGTTTGTGGATCATAGATGCAGGTTCTAAATGCTAGTAAACATTTAAGCCATGGAAGATAGGTTACATCTCTAGCTAGTTATTCAAATGACTGCTCCAGGTAGCAGACAAAAAAACATGGAGGATTGATAAAACTGGAAGTGACTTCTTTAGGTTACAAAAAACGCCAACTCTTCTTGCTCCATCATCCGTGGCAAACATAATTCATCCATGTGCATTAGCTACTCAAGATCACTTAATTTTCCTCAAACAGTAAAGGTATTCAAGACATCCACATGCTGCTGACAACGGATGAATGAAACACTTGTGCCATTATAAAGAGGCAGCTAAAGCCCCTCAGATAGCATGTCAAGACAGTGTTGGGTGCTGATGAACGAGCATCAACTCTATAAAACTGTATAAAATCCTTCTTCTTGTATGAAAAAAGATTTATAGCAAGAATAACCTTGTAATTTCCTTGTGGAGTACACTAGCGACATAATAAACTGTCTCAGAAGGAAATCTGATCACCTAGCAACTGTTCTGACCTGCAGATTTCTACATCTCAGGATTAAGAACATATTTTCAAGGATGGTTGCAATCCACTCACATGGCTGTTCAGTCTGTCTCTTTTGACTTAATTACTTTTCCTTGCCTTTCCCCGTTTTTCGTGATCACTGTTCACTTCTGTATAAACAGTGTTCATACACCTGTGCTCTGAGGAGGGTAGCTCCATGGTTTAGTGACAAGCAGTTTCCTCTCTGGTTCTGTCTAAAATTAATCATATGTGGTTCTTCTTCACACTTACTCATGATAAAGAGTATTTATTTTAGAATTTATACAAATGTAAATCCCACCTTGTTTTGCATATGTCATTGCTCCTACTGCCTCACTAATTTAATTATAGTATTCACATGAAAAATTAGTGCCAACATTTAAATCCCTTTCTCTCAGTAGGTTTAATTGCCAGTGAAGGAACAAAAGGTTTGTTGAATTTGAGTTTAAAAAGGTATACTTAGCATACCTATGGGTCTTAAGTAGGTCGATTACCTTACTACAGAGAATCCTTGAATAAGTAAAGAAGTTTATCCAGCAAATTCTCATGGAGTCTTCTACCACACTGCAAAATCTTGCCCTGCTCAGGGCAAAGACCTATTAATGGGTTTTTTTAAAGACCTTCTTTTTTATAAAATTGTTCTTTAAGAAGAATAATTTTCCCTTCTTTGTTTCATGACAGAAGTTACTTATTAATTCTTAATTCTTTGCACTAAAACCAGATTCACAGATTGAGGCAGAACAACCAGAAGCAGAGTTAGGATTAATTTCTGGATATGAATGCTGTAGATTCCTGTAATGAAAACTGGTAAACTGGTAACATGTTCTGTGCTGTATTTTGGCTCTCTAGCAGTCTTCCAGCCAATGTCCAGACAGGGCCCATGATAGGACAGATATAATTTCCAAAGGCAATTTAGGTGCAGTTACCTGCATTTGGTTGGGAAGAGAGTTTAGGTGTGGAAACATAAGCTAATCTGTGCCAGGGGGTCTCAGTGCATTAAAACTTTCATTAATTAGAGTGGACAAAACCTGTGTGTCTAAACATTACAAGAGTTAAAAATATATATTGTTAGGTATTGAAATTAATGGTTATTGATGTACAGTATTGACTACTGCTTGCAGCTTCTTACAGGCTTGGTGACAAAGTCACATAAATATCAGCTGTATCTTACAAATCTATTCATCCAAGAATCCTCAAATTGCTGGCTGATGTCATTGCACAACCTCTCTCTACGATTTTTGAGTGATCTTGGGAATACAGAGAGAGAGGTCCCAGATGACTGAAAACTGGTGAACATTGTTCCAGTTTTCAAGAAAGACAAGAAAGAGGACCCTGGAAACTACAGGCCTGTCAGTCTCACTTCAGTACCTGGTAAAGTTATGCAGAAGGTTATTCTGGGAGGTATTGAAAAACACCTGAAAGAAAAAACTGTCATCAGTCACAGCCAACATGGCTTCCTAAGAGGAAAGTCCTGCTTATCAAACCTGATTTCCTTTTATGACAAGGTAACCCACCTAGCTGATCAAGGGAAGACAATTGATGTCATGTTTTTAGATTTCAGCAAAGCTTTCGATACTGTCTCTCACAGGATCCTTCTGGACAGCATGTCCAGCACATAGCTGGATAAACACATCATGTGGTGGGTTAGCAATTGGCTCATGGGTTGAGCACAGAGGATAATAGTGAATGGGGTAACACCAGACTGGTGACCTGTCACTAGTGGGGTTCCACAGGGCTCCATCTTAGGTCCTGTGCACTTCAGCATGTTCATAAATTACTTGGATGCAGGACTGGAAGGGATGCAAGTTTGAAGATGACACAAAACTGGGAGGAGCTGTTGACTCCCTCAATGGCAGGGAGGCCCTGCAGAGAGACCTCGACAAATTAGAGGACTGGGCAATCACCAACCACATGAAGTCCCACAAGGGCAAGTGCTGGATTCTGCACCTAGGGTGCGGCAACTCTGGCTGTGTGTACAGACTGGGGAATGAGAATCTGGAAAGCAGTGCCACGGAAAGAGACCTGGGAGTCCTGGCTGATGACAAGTTGAATATGAGTCAGCAGTGCTCTGGCAGCCAGGAGGGCCAACTGTGCCCAGGGGGGCATCAGGCAAAGCATCTCCAGCTGGTCAAGGGAGGAGATTTTCCCCCTCTGCTCTGCACTGGTGCGGCCTCACCTTGAATACTGTGTTCAGTTTTGGACATCACACTATAAGAAAGATATTAAGCTATTATAGAGCATTTAAAGGAGGGCAACGAAGATGGCGAAAGGCCTTGAGGAGAAGGAGGAATGGCTGAGGTCACTCGGTCTGTTCAGCCTGGAGAAGAGGAGACTGAGGGAAGACCTCATTGCAGTCTATAACTGCCATATGAGGAGCAGCTGAGGTCACTTGGTCTGTTCAGAGTGGAGAAGAGGAGACTGAGGGAAGACATAGCCATCTACAACTTCCTCATGAGGGGAAGAGGAGGGGCAGGCACTGATCTCTTTTCTGAGGTGACCAATGACATGACCCGAGCAAATGGCCTGAAATTTTGTCAAGGGAGGTTTAGGTTGGGTATTAGAAAAAAGTTCTTCACTCAGAGGGTGGCTGGATGCCGGAATAAGCTCCCCAGGGAAGTGGTCACAACACCAAGCTTGCCAGAGTTCAAGAAGCATTTGGATGATACTCTCAGGCACATGGTGTGACTCTTGGGAATTGGTAGAGTGCCAGGAGTTGGACGCAGTGATCCTTATGGATCCCTTCCAACTCAGTATATTCTGTGATTCCGTGATTCTGTATAAAAAAAATTTAGCTAAATTAATAGGGCTACAGAAATAAACAAGTAGAAGAGTCATCCCAGAAGTGCTGAACTAGTCCCTGTCTTCTCTGTTCTCCTTGGACATGAACCTGTACTTGATTTTTGCAATGACCAGGGCTTTTTATAGGAGACTTTATTTTGCATTCATATACCCCATGCACTCCTTCAACAGTAAGGAATAATTTATCCCTTAAAAAATGTATTAAGTAATCCAATATGCTATATAATTTTTATTGTTCAACAACTACATAGAATGAGGCAAATCTTCATAACTTATAGTGGGAGTATGATGCTGTAAAGAACTAATACAAACTAATACTGACCTCATGAACTGGAAACCTGCTTTTCTTTAGGACTCTGTACCTTCATCATTAAAACACTAACTTCACAGTAGATTTCAGCTTTTTTGTTTTTAAAGATGCTTATTCATAGACCAAGGCCTCTTAGCCAAGTTACCCGACATTTGGAATCCTACCAGAATTAGAGACTCAGATGGTAGCATCAAAACTAGACAGGTATAATGGTCAGGCACACAAGACTCAGATTGCTTACACAGCAATTTTTATATACAGCAAACATTTCTTTAGAAGTCCAATACATAACTCGGATTAGTTGAGGAAAGGTCTAATCTACTCAGCTGGCTTCCATGGGACTGCTACTTCACTCTAACAATGACCACGACAACAATACAAAAGCTGTATTTTCACAGAGATAATAACTCTTGAACCATCTATTGCATTTTCCAGATACAAGCCCATTCTTTTTATATTAGTTGTGACGGGAGTTTTTCTTGTGTTCTTTTTCTTAAGCTAATATTTTTATTGCTTGCAAACTGACATGTCTCAGTATTTCCAGGCTACTTCCAGTGAAATGATTTGTCCATTTTTCTACGGATAAATGCTTAGGCAAGATTTAAGTTTCATAGAGCACCTAAATACTTAATTCATAAACACCTTTAATATACATATTCTGAAGATGCTCCAGTATAACTTTAATTTTTTTCTAGTTATATCAGAGATAACTGAACATCTTAGCACTTTAACTATCTACTTAAAACTACTAGTTATTCCTCATTAGTCAGAATCACCATCAATCTTTCCTTTTTCTTTTTTTAAGGAATTTAGTAAAAATAAAATGATCACCTGATCTTCTGATTCTTTTGAGGTCATTGATTAATACATGTCACTTCAGAAAAGATGTATTTTAAATATTTCATTTATAAAAAATAAAATCACTGTTTTGGGAGAAGAAACTGATAACATATTATAGATTTTGTAAGCATTGGAATGGATTTGTGTTTTCTCTCTATAGTAACCATGGAAAATGTACCTGGGAAGAGAGTATTAAGAAATAAAATACAGATATTTTTGTCATACATAAAATAAGATCAATTAATCTTTTCTTAAAACCTTATCACTGAGAAGTCACTTTAAAGCATTTTAGGCAGAGAAATTATTAGAATGTTTTATGGGAACCTTCTCTAGCAGTCAAAGCAAACAATCTATGACTTATAAGTGCTTGCTGCTGCAGTGTGTTAGGAGGTTTTGTTGACATGTGATCTTTGCTTTCTTTATTCAACACAAATATCTTATATCCAACCATATTTGACATTTCAAGCATTAAACATAATACTGAATATAAATCAGGGCACTGGAGCCAAAACTTTGTCTCATGGGAACCACCTTAAAGGGAATTTTTTATGATGAAAAAATATTTCAGTCCTAAGGCAAAATCAAAACTTGAGTAGATGCCAGAAATATTATTAAGATTTAGAATATGTTAACACAGTGTTCAGACAGATATCTCCAGCAAAGTTTGATTCCTGGAAGAAGCAAAACAATGTGTTTGGTCTCTGCACAGACTAAACCAGGACCCAAGCTGTGTTCATTAACTTTATAGAGAATGTTAATAATAGTGAAGCCGTTAATCCATGTTTGCTCCTAAAATTTGGATTTTCTTCTCTCATTGATTAGCTAGATCATTTCATCTGGTTAAGCTTAGAACAACTACTCTTAACTCATAGTTCATTTTGAAGTTGGCTGCTTCTGTTTCAAACCTATAGCGCCAAGGACTCGCCACTTTGTTTTTGCAATTATGTTAGATAGTGTAATAAAAGTTATTACTTCAAAATTAAGAACTTGTCAATCAGAACACAATTCTCAATTCTACCAATGCTTTCCTTAGAAAATGTATACATTTAGAGAATACACAGGGTGAATATCACCACATGCAAGTATACTCTCAGATCTGGTGTCAGGAATCCTTGTTTGATTTAGCTGTTAAGAGGTATCCTGTGATAAATAAATGTCCTCTGAACAAGCAATATGATTCACTAATATTCAGCAAGATGCTGGTATTCTGGAAGCAAGCTTTATTCCTGTA